TTTAACACTCAATCTATATTTCATGCACTGAAAATGAAGAAACAAATGGAATTATCTGTGGTCAGGAATTAACATAAACTTTACTGACATAATAGGACTATATATATATATATATATATATATATATATGTGTGTGTGTGTGCGCATTTATGATTTTACTATAAAAAAGCATTGAAAATCAGGAAGAAAGATTTTTATTGGTTAGTGTAGTGAAATGAGTTTCTATTCCTCAGACATTGTTTGTACAATCCAAAATACCTTTTGTTCAATACGCCGTTTGTGAGTTCTGCACACTTCACAAATGCAAAAAAACAATTCTCCCTTCTTACTGCTTCAGCCCTCTTTTATCATGTCAACATCACAGCCGGCTAACCAGTTAGTGTTCTTCTCTTTTGTTCTCAGTTACCCAGGCAAATAGCTTCTTCCAATCTGACCAATCAGCATGGCTTGCTATTGGTCAAACCACACTAAGCTGTGCAAAATTCACCGTTACAGCACATACTGTTGGAACATGAAGAGGGTAGATCAACGCCATTTTGAAGGAATAAAATGCTGATGCTACATCTCGTGTGTTGACGTAAGGAACTTATTTTCTTTTACACCAGATGAAAGCCACTCTGACTTGCTTGCTTCTACGTGATTGTTCACCACAGCAATTAAGGTAATTTTTTTTCTTTTTAATCATTCACCTCAATAAGTTCCATAAATGAGAAATGCAGGAGAAAAAAAAAACTATTAGAGTAGAACTTATGATTATAAGTAGCAGTTTCAACAATGAAATTATGGGACCTAGTTACCAGTCTAGCACTGTACTTGAATTTGTGAAGTTACATCTAGCCATTTTAATTGTAAAATGATGAGACCCTGCTGCCAATCTAGTACTGAGCTTAAATTCATAAAGTTTTGGTACCAACAATGAAATCTCATTAGAACAATTACCATGAAAATATGCTTGAAAAAGGAAAAAGAATGTTACATTACAGTGGTGGGAAAGTAATTGAACCAGAGATGCCAGGTCAAGACTGATAATGTTGCAGATTTTTCTTTGGAGAGCTCATGATTTTATCATAGAAATGTATTGAAAAGCAAGATGAAAGAGATTTTCATTGGTCAGCATTTAAGACAAATATTACTGATATAATAGGACTATTATCTGTATAATAAAGATAATATCAAGAATAATGGTGGTGACAAATAGATTTGAGAGAATCAACCCTATATTACTGACATAATTGAAAGACCAATTATAGAATAATTAGGGGACTAATACAGATATGAATTACAGTTGTAATTTTTGCTCCAAACAGCAAATCTATCATTTTTGGAAATTCTCATCAGGCAAAAAATAAAATTACAAAAACAAAACAAAAGAATAGTTTGGACAAAAAAAAAAAAAAAAAAAAAAAAAAGAAAGAACAAAAATTAAAACTTGCAAAAACCATTGAAAATGGTTAAACCATAAATTCTCTAAACACACTTCTCTACTCCATGAGTAAAGAGGTGTTGTATTATGTAGATGGGCTATACTACAATTTTGTTAAGTTTTCCCATAATTTCTCATGTAAATTTAATATTGCAGAACCTTTTTCTAATATTGATTTTTCTGTGGCACTGAGAAGACATTATAGCTGAGACTTTTCAAAATGGTAAATTTACAATATTAAGCAAGTTGAAAAAAATAATATGAATAAGAAATTGAGTTATAAAAATAACATAATAGCCAGAGCAGTAGTAGTTATAATGATAATAACAGGAACTATATTGAAGTGTTGAATGAAGGAAATTACATTCGCTTTAGCTGTCAAATTGAAGCCACTCTGGACAGTGCAGAATTTACAAATCCCTACCATAATTGGAGTTGCACAAATGATATAAAAATGTTTTCAGTGAAACACAAGAAAAAAAGGCCAGTAAAAACAGATGTCTGCAAGGATTAAAAAATTGCACTGTTAGCATCCATAAACATTGGTACATCTTTTTTTGATTATTATTAGTTAACATTCATTCTCATAAACATAATACAATAAACATGATAAATGTAATAGTCTTAAGTTGGTCAAATTTCTGAAAATGAAGCATTGTCTGTCTTTATCTCTGAGATGAGGTATTGTAATTATTTATGAGGTAGATTGTTGTATTTCCACATGCAATTGTGCTTCTGGTTGCCACAGTTATCTTCCTTTAACTCAACCTTCCTTGATTCACATGGCACGTGGAACTAGAAGAATCTACCCCAGTGGACAAAATAAAGGGTTCAGTTCAAAATTTCAATCACCTTAAGAAGGCCAGAGTGTACAATGGCCAAAATGTTGTGAATATGACAATAAAGATGAGGACCACAGTCTGAACAAGGTAAATAATGTAAATAATGAAGCATTGTCATTGATAAGGGAGATTAGGGTACAAATTTTACTGTAAGCTTAGTGGAGATTATGATCTGTGCATTTATTTAAATAAAAAATCAAATGGTAATGATATTCAATTACAACAAATAGGATATGTTTAGAACAAAAAACATATTTTTTATATACAGAATATTACAATCTTGTTTGTAAAGATGTATGCAGAAGTGTGATCAGAGTATTTTTAAAGAGAAAAGTTCTTGTTGCTGGTTTGGAAATGTTTCGTATGTTTGTAATGTAGTTTGGAAAATTTCATGGGTACGTGCATGTGTGAATATGTTTTCCGCATTCGACTGTGATGGGGTTGCAATGCGGTTTCCTTTAAGGTTACATTATTATAGGCGAATGAAATCAAGAAAGAGATAGAGAACGAACTCGTGTCTGATATTTATAATTAACGTAATCACATGACAGGCTCCTGGAAAAACAGCGGGAAAACTTGACTTGGTCACTTGCTGGAAAAAGACTTATATGTGGGTAGATTACAACACCCACTTGTGTGTTTATTGACCAATTAGAAGCTGAGGTTTCCTGAAAATATGTATGAAGCTATGTAAGCTCTTTGATCCACTTTTTGCACAGATTTGTACAAAATTCAACATTGATCAGAAAGTGGTAGTGAGATGCTAAATATGTATATATAAGAATAACGTCAGGAAATTAAATGACAAAATGAAAAAAAATTCTGTGTAAAATGTTTCATCCTCTAGAATGACTTCATCAGACTAAATTTTTTTATTGATGTGTAGTAGGGAAGAAGAAATCTAAATGTCAGTGTCAGTTATAATTATGCACTGAGGGGAAAAACTAAAAATATGGAAATGCTAAAGTTTAAATTATTAAATTTTTGAGTTTTAGCTTTTTTATCAAACATGCCTGCATACGCAATCTTGCCAATCTCAAAAGCTTATTCTTTATTTCTAATACATATGAATTACTTAACAACCATAAAATAAGTGGAAAAACAATACGAGAGTGAAAATAAAAAGTGAAAGAATTAGAGAAAGGAAAGCATTAATAAGTGAAACTTCTTTTACAAGAAGAAAAGATCTCCCTCCTAAAATGAATTATTAAAACAATAATGATTCTTTGTGTCTGTATGCCAAAACATAAGAGCCGGTTGAAAAGTTCATAGCCTGACCAAAAGAGATAAATGTAATCAAACACACCAATTGGTAGATGTGGAAATATGCCAGAATTGAACAGCTGACCAACCAACTGTTGTATAGTGATTTTCCAAGCGTAGCTCAGATGTGGCACAAGGCCGAAAGTATGGGGTACCCAGTGAGAATCGAACTCACTACTCAGTCGCAATAGTTCTGAGCGAGACAAGCTTGCTAACCCTTACACCACCTAGAGGTACCCAAGTGATTTTCTAAGCCCGGCTTAGATATGGCACAAGGCCAAAAGTATGGGGCACCCAGTGACGATTGAACTCACTATTCAGTCGTAATTGATCTAGCAGGACAAGCTTTCTAACCATTACACCACATCGAGGTGCCCCCAACCAGCTGTTGGTATTCTGGTACACTTGTATGTCTTTTAATCTACCAACTGGTGTGTTTACTTATATTTATATCTTGGTCAGGCTATAAATGTTTCAGTTGACCCTCTGAACTATCAACCATTTTTTAATGATGTAGATGGAAAAAGATTTTTTTAATGCTACATTCATATAGGTGACCATGAAACTCTGCACATTCCTTTTCTCTTTTATCTGTGAATTGCCATGCATTCTTGGAAAAAATAACAGCCGTTTTTTGGTTATCTTCTCCACAATTTGGATTCTGTTTTCTTTCTCTTAGACTGATTGCCTGTGAAGGCTACAGATCCCAATCTACCTTACTGTTTAATCCATACCTGGAGAGGGGCAATTTATGGAGTCATGCCTTTCCCAATGCAAAAATGAATGCAATTAACCAGTGGCGTAGCTAGAGTAAACGTCACCCGGGGTGGTCTGCTCAAATGTCACCCCAATGACCCCGATTCACCTTATGCTGAATGGTTAGCTGTAGCTAAATTTTCATACATGCTCTACCTCTACTTTACTCTACTGACCGTTTACATGTATGATCCAAGACAAAATCCAATACCACAAAATAATCAGTTCAAATCAAAAGCTGAAAACATTGCTATTTTTCAAAACTGGGGGGTCATATGCCAGCCTGCGAAACCCTGTGTCTCCACCACTGTTTTCAGACTATTTTTGGCACCTTAGTCTGGTTGAAAAATTTTGTTGGGGGTGACATTGTGTCACCCCTCCTGTGCTGGCACCCAGGGCAGTCCGCCCCCTCCCCCCCAGCTACGCCACTGCAATTAACTAGCCTGGAATTTGAACTGAGCTTATTGATTCCACATTTTGCTTCATTATCCATTACACTACCCACAGAACCGAAAAGTGGAAAATTAAATATTCTGTTTTCTGAAATACAGACATATATTATCAATTTTTTAAAAATCATTTCACTCCAAGCAAAGCAATAAAGCCACTAACATGCAAGTGATGACTGAGTGTGAAAGAATATGAAGAAAAAAAAAATTACTTTTTTAATATTGTATCAGTAGTATGCATGATGACTTCAAAAAATATTATTAAGTTTAATCTTTACTGAGTCCTTGTAAATTTATAAAGAAGGGAGAATAAAACATACTAGTGCCATGATAAAGAAGGGAGAAAGAAAAGGTACTAGTGACATGATAAAGAAGGGAGAAGAAAAAGGTACTAGTGACATGATAAAGAAGGGAGAAAGAAAAGGTACTAGTGACATGATAAAGAAGGGAGAAAGAAAAGGTACTAGTGACATGATAAAGAAGAGAGAAAGAAAAGGTACTATTGATATGATAAAGAAGGGAGAAAGAAAAGGTACTAGTGACATGATAAAGAAGGGAGAAGAAATAGGTAATTGTGACATGATAAAGAAAAGGTACTAGTGACATGATAAAGAAGGGAGAAAGAAAAGGTACTTGTGACATGATAAAGAAGGGAGAAAGAAAAGGTACTTGTGACATGATAAAGAAGGGAGAAAGAAAAGGTACTTGTGACATGATAAAGAAGGGAGAAGAAAAGGTACTTGTGACATGATAAAGAAGGGAGAAGAAAAAGGTACTAGTGACATGATAAAAAAGGGAGAAGAAAGAGAGATTATAGGAAAAGATTTAAAACTATAGCTCCTGGGATACTGATATTAAGGTATATAAAGAATTAATGAAAATTATAATTTGGGTAAAAAAAAAAATCAAGAGACAATTACCATTTATTTGTATTCAAATGTGACACAGATTCTTTTTTTGTTTAAGCCACCTACTTATTGATTGTATTCTGAGTTATTGAGAAATTACCCAGCTCTCTAGGCTATTGCTTCAGGCATGCTCTTCTTAGACCAAAGTGGAGATGCTATCTGGGGACAATTTCCGCATGCACCAGTTTTTACCATTTAGTTTTCGCCCTTAAATAGCAGAAGTTGCCATAAATATAAATCAACCATTTGTTAAACTAAAATCTGTCTCAAAATCATGTGTGTACTTAACAGGATATCTGTAGCATTGCAGCTCACACAAAACACCAGGTTCATTCTCAAGGTGAAGCTTCTTCCAATAAAATGCTAATGACTTAAAAATAACTTTGTCCAGATTGTTACCCCCATAATAAAACCATGGGACTACTATATCATTATGCAAATTTTATTCTGGTTGTAACCTGCTGTAGATGAGGGAGAGGTGAAGGGGGCATATCTTCATTTTTGTAATGCAGTCTTTTTCTGTCCACTTTCGGTTAGTCTCTCTGTTTTTGGCTACTAGTGGCCACTGTCTTATAGAGAATGTCATTCTTCATCTTGTCACCGATGACTAAAAAATTAATTTATTTAGAACCTAGGGTCATGTTACACTCAGTGACCATCCTTGTCAGTGTCCGTCCATTTGATATAGTTCTTGTGAGGTCCACTTCACTCAGCAGCTAATCGTCAAGACTATAAATGTCTGAAACAATTTCTCTAACATCTTTCAGATGTTTTCATTTAACAAGATATCAGCTGGCACTGATATCACTATATGTTTTAAAAAAGAATTTCTTTCTTTTTATGCGCCATGTCCTTTCAGGATGTAGGCGATCATGGCTCTCCACCTCCCTCTATCACTTGTAGCTCTCAACAAGTTCCTTCCTCTGCTTCTTCCCCTGAGATCACACAAGTCTGCCAAAGACCATGCATTCCTTTGTCCTTCCCTCTATTCGACCCATGAGTATAGATTCTCCAGGCCTTTTCCTCATTTCTTTTTATGCGCCATGTTTTCTCTAGGCGATCATCTCCACCTCCCTTCCCTTGTCTCTCAACAAGTTCCTTTCTGACCCCTGAGTATCAGATTATCCAGTTTTCCTTGTCCTTTCTCATTCTATTGACCCATGAGTAAGATTCTCCAGGCTCCTCCTTTCTTTTTTGCCATGTCCTTTCAGGATATTAGGCGATATAAATCCCTCCTCAACAAGATCCTTCCCTCTGCTTCCTCCCTCACAAGTCTGCCAAATCGTCATCATTGTTTTCCTCTCGCTTTGGTCTATGACCCATGAGTCCAGATTCTCCAGGCACTTTTTTTTTATGTGCCATAGGTGATCACTCTCCACCTGTCTATCACCTCAGTTCCTTCTATCTTCATCTTTTGAGACCACATACTGCCAACATTCCTGCCATGTCAAATTGAAGGTCAGATGTCATTTGACCCATGAGTTCAGATTATCCAGGTCCTCCTTTTCATTATATGTCCCAGAAACTTCAGCCAAAGATATTAAGTATAAAACCTCCTCCTTGTTTGCAACCCTCTAAGATCAATTAATCCCACGCTTGGTAATGATATCCTTAACCCTTTTTAGAATCACATCTCTGTCACCTCAAGTCTCTTCTTCATCTTTGAGGAAATTGTCCAACATTCACTGCCATAAAGAAGGACAGATGTCACGTAACAGTTCAGTATTCTTTTCTTTGTTACCAAAGATATCCTAATAAGCTAAATAATAATCTATAAAAAATCCCTAATTTTAAATTAATGTATCATGATTTAATTAACCCCCCCCCCACCAACTTAACTGTCACAAGTTACCTGATATTGTTAAAATTAAAATTCTGTATTGATATTAAATAACAAAAAAAATAATTTGAGGGACTTATTAAATATTAAATTATTTAAGTCTTTAGTATGTACTTGTGATGAGATGTGCTTTCTTTTCAGTGAATTGGAGTGAATTAAAAAGTGGTCAGTACAAGTGAAATGAGGATTACATCAGGGCTATCATTAATACCTTTAATATCTTCCATAGCCAATTAGAAATGTTGGCTGGTGATTGGGCCAGTTGGTGATGTGTCTGCACAGATGCTGTTCACACCGCAGAAGCATGGTTAGTCCTGCAAGCAGAATAGCACTGTCAAAGACATCACCTACATATTCCTTTCCCTACTGTAATCCATTATCTTTTTTGACATACTTCTTATGGAAATGTGTGTAATATTCCTGTGCTTGTCTAATCATGAAAACTCATCTATAATTAGGGGAACTGATTGTTGACAACAAAGATGATATACTTACTATAATCGAAATGTCACGAGGAAAATTGAATGTTGCTTTTCACAACATTACAAGAATTTAAGTGTTTTAATAGATTTGAATATAAACAACAGTGTAAGTGTGATCAGTTCTGTAGAAATCTCTGTAGAACATAGGTCTATAGCAGGAGTGTGTCAGTGTGGAGAAAAATTTCACCTATTGACATATATTGATTCATTTTTTGCAACTTATTTAAAGCCAGAAAATATTTTTAGATTGAAAGAAGTTTTCTTTTTTGAGATAATGATTTAGTGATACAAGTCTTACTGTTATAGTCCATCCTAATAAGAATATATACTTGAAAAACATGGTGGATAAAATAAGTAAAGGTTTATTGTAAAAGCCAGCACAATAAGAATAAAGGTAACAGTTATGCACAAGGTCACTGCAAGTCAATCCAGTAATGTGTGCTACTATTGGAAGTTCGGTAGTTCTTGCATAAGTCTGAGTCATACTGAACAGATCCCAACTAGACTCTGTAGTCTGTTGACTTACAGATACTTATAGGTAGTTACTACCTATAGTGTAGTCACTCATGGGGAGTGACAGGTTATTCCATTACATCACTTACTAATTAACCCATAGCTAGTTTAACCCATAGCTGGGTGAGAAAAAGTGAATTCATACCTTTCTCATGAGTATTTATGCATAAGTGAATATAATGGAACCAACTGGAATTGGAACTCAGCTAACCAATTAACAATTCTGAGCCATTATCCATTACACCACCTGCACATCCAAGCTTACAGTACCTCTTATTCTCAAACAGTTACCCATCTAGGTACTAACCAGGCTTGAAGTTGCTTAACTTCAGTGATTGTATGGGAACTGGTGTTTCAACATGTCCATATATTGACATTTACTGAATGATTACAGAGACTAAATAGTGGATGTGAACACTGTTAGTCATTATGACAATCAATGTTTCAAGTGGTTTTTCAGAACTGAAAACACAAAGTCAGTATTGGTAGCACCGTAAGAAAACGGTGTGTTTCAGATGAAAACTTGCTCTATCCAATGGTGCTGCTGTGCTCTCAATAAAAATAAACAGGAGGGATTATTTTCAGAGCATTCCTCATGTATATTGCATTGCAGAAATTTGAAGTGTAGAATATTTTATTCTTTTAATGATTTTATAATTCTTTTGCATCTTAATGACTGTTTTCATGTGCATGATATTCTGCTCAGTTTTAACTGATGGGAAGAATATTATCTCTGTTTATATGTATCTTTAATCAGGTGGAGAGAAAGATAGACCGAGAAAGAAATGCTTTAAAAATCAGTCATTATGCATCTTTGATTTTCCCTGCAAAAAATCCTTCCCTGGAAATTTGCACAATCTCCAAGTCTCGTAGTGTTCATTTCTTCTGAATAACAAATGCAAAATGTTTTTCCCTGTATGGAAAAGATGTATTCATGGGATGGAATTGCCTTCTAAACAAGAAAAATAAAAAATAAATAGTATATTAATTCAATGCAAGAAATCACACCATAAATATTGTGACCACCATTCAAGCACACTATCTATGGAGGTAGCTTTTGCAATAATTGAAAATATACACAGATAGATCCACATGGCCAAAAGGAAGGAAACAAGTATACAAAACAAGAAAAAAAAATGAGGAAAAAACAAATTAATTTAAAAGAAGAGGGAGGGGGAGGTGTATAAAATTCTTAAAGTTGGTGACTGGAATATTGTGAGGGAAGAAATAGAAACCAGAATGAAAAAAGAAGAAAAATCAGCAAGTTAACATTGTTGTAATATTGATAGAAGGGGTAAGTTTAGAATTTGGTAAGAAGGAGAAATTAATTATATCAAATAATTGATATGACCAGTCCCAAAAAGTTGGAAAGCCTTACAGACATACAAAGAGTTTCAAATCTATATTAATTTATCTATATATAGGTGTGTACTTGTGTGTATTGCAATGCTTTTAAATATTATATATATATATATATATATATATATATATATATATATATATAATATGATAATATATATATAT